ATGTGTGCGTTTCAATTAAAAGAAACCTTGCCATGCATACAGATTGCTATCCCTTTGGTGTAATCACAGGCGCACGTGGAAATGGATGATTACGCGCATGTAAGAGTGTTCGATTTTGCTCATGACTGGGAATGCTTGTGTGTGTGTGTGTGTGTGTGTGTGTGTGTGTGTGTGTGTGTGTGTGTGTGTGTGTGTGTGCGCGTTTGTGTGTTGTAACTGTCATTGAATCAGTGTTGTAATAGGAGCGTATTGGTTTAACATGATTTACTTTTTTCAGGCAGGGATTGTTCAGCTGTCTCTGCCAACATGCACACACAAACGTGCATCACTTTGTCTTTTTTTTGTTGTTTTTTTTGTGGCACCGACATTTTGTCAAACCTATCATGACTAAATGCAATCATGAAATGCCATTACACGTAGCACCAGTTGCTATCATTTGAAAAAAAAAATTGCATGGTTCTTCAACGAATTGCAAATTCACCAATTAGATTTGTTTTTTACATACGCACGCACCAAACCCACAACACTTGAGTGCTGCCTTCAGCCTCCAGCACATCACTTAAAAGTCCTATTAAATGTATTTAATAGTTTTTAAATTGTTGAGAGAGAAAAAAACTCCCTTCGGTACCACAAGGCAAGCTTCGGGGTCCGCAGAATAATCATAAATGAATAATAATTTTTCATCTCATCGTGTATCATGTTACATACATACAGCAAAGGGACTGGTGTGCCAATAAAAAGAAACACGATGAAGCAGTTACTCCTCCACGCTTTTACTTTGGGCCAATTAAAAGCTGTCTGATTGTTACTGTTTAGCACATACTGTTAATCTGACACCCCTGCATGAATCGCCGTCAAAAGTCATTTTGGGGTGCAATAAGACATATTATTACTAGAACGAAATAGGCCCAAATATTCATATCTAACTTGATTGAAAGGTTGATTGATGGCCAGTCACAGCCACAGAGACGAAGAATCCATTGGGCAGATTGAATAAAGAGAGCCAAATGCTCTTTGACTGACGATCGGACGACTCTCATGTTTGGTGTCGTTTCTTCGCCTGTCACTTAGTGTTCACTGAGTGCTTGTTGACCACAGCAGCCCGGAGACCTCAAGAACCTGGATAATTGGCCTCCTCTGTGGCCCAGCATGGGGATTCCACTTATGCCTGCCAGGAATCCCATCCTGAGTGTGTGTGTGTGTGTGTGTGTGTGTGTGTGTGTGTGTGTCTTTGTCAAATTTGTGTCTAGCATTTCGACAACGCAGAATTTGCTCATTTTCAAATGGCTGATATGCGTAATGGCAGTGTGCAGTTTTATCCTTCATCCAAGTATTTTTTTGTTTTCCACATGTTGCCAAAAAGGCATTTGAATTCCAAATTCCGCTGTTTTGCTTATTCATTCTGTCATGGTGTACTTATGCGGGGACTCAAAAGAAGCGACCTCACATTGCAAGAAGCATTTCTGTGATGTTAAAATATTAGCAGTTAGCAGATGCTTTTTGTGCCCGGAAACCTTGTTCTTGGAAGGCTTTGTTTAAAGGACCATTTGTAGATTACAAAATGTGTTTTGTGCTAATGCAAACACCTGCTACAGCTTTTCATTATACTTGTCTCCCGTGTTCTGCTTTTGCTCAGAAGCATTGTTATTGTCGTTATTAGCAACACAGTGGAACTATCAGGGTCAAACACGGTCTGCTTCAAATTTTTGGTTGCACAGCCCATTGCGTGTGTGTGTGTGTGTGTGTGTGTGTGTGTGTGTGTGTGTGTCACTAATGAATGGAACTGTTATTAGGCCAATTTGCCAGATAGGAATATTAGTCGCTGTAATGTTATGTGACATTCCCAATATGTGTTAGCATTAGCATTAAAGTAGCGGACTAAATGTTTTTTTTTTTTTAATGCACATGTAATTCTACTAATTTGTTTAGTTTGACAGTAAACATCATTTGGGAGTGGCAAATATTTATATATTTATATAGACCTATATATATATATATAGGTCACTGCCACTGCTGAAGTTTGCCCTACCAAATCAAATTAAAACAGGTTGTACCGCAAAAAAAAAAAATCACAAGTCTGGTCACTCTTATCTCAAGGCTTCAAGGTACACCCTTCTACCACTGAATTGTCATCTTCACCAAGCTCAGTTGGACGTCATCAAATTATCACGAGCTAACACTGCTAATGCTAAGCTGCCCGTACAATTAAAACTCACCATAGCTCTGCTTACCTTTTGGCCTTGACATAATAGGAAGGGCGTCCCACCCATGGGGGATGTTGGCGTTTCCGCATGATATTATATTCGATAGCACTTGAAAGTGGCTCTCGATATTGACCGAGCCGATCACGTCATGTGCGTGTACACTCTGTGTGGCGGGGCAGCTATGAAAATTAGTGCGCTCACACATTTTAAGAAATGGAAAGAAAAAAGATTTCAACGTCTCTTTATTTGCATACTTATTCCCTCCAGAAATTATTTTTTAAACAAGTAATTAAAAAGTCAAATTTCCATAATCTGTATTACAACATTCATCCAAGTGGAATCATGTGCAATCAAAGTGTTTGGTCAAATTCCAAATGGAACATTGAATTGTAGGGGTTCTGCTTTATGTCGTAATGTGTTTGGACATCATTCATTGGCCTTGAACAAAGTGTGAGATGCTTGTTTACTCTCCGCCAGGCTCTAACAAAGGGCAAATGGAAAAGGAGCTGCGGTTTATTTTGTAGACTACTCACCTTAAGACAGGTATTCAATGTGGTTTCATCAGCTTCAGTGCCTTTCACTGCTCAACAACAATAGAAAGAGCAGACTGCCAAGAAATAAGAAGGTGTTTGTGTGGCGTTTTTTTCCCCTCTTTCTTTCTTTTCTTGTATCCATCCTCCCGTGTTATCTTTGTTGGTGCAGACCTTTTGTATGTACTCATGAAGTGTCCCATGAGCGTATATCTGGTGTTGGATATCTGGCCAACCGGTCCAGTAGGGATCACTGAGCATGCCCGTAGTGTGGCATTTGTGTATTACCGTATTTTCCCCACTAAAAAGCACACTGGATTATGAGGCGCACCTTCAATGAATGGCCTATTTTAAAAAAAATTTCAGACATTGGACGCACCGCTTTATAAGACGCACTCTACAATGCATCCACTAGATGAAGCTGCGCTCAAGGAAATTCCAGCAGAACACTACATTACATTACGCCCTGATTTATATAGAGACGATCAGATGTCAGTAAAACATATTTAATAAAGCAGCGACACAGTTCACTTCACCAACAGCAAGTTATAACATTGACTAGTTCACGTTGAACTCTCTTGCCGCTGCTCTATTTCCGCGTTCAACTGCGAAACCGATCGCCTTAAGTTTGAACTCTGCGTTGTAAGCGTGTCTCAGGCAAAGAGCCATTTTGGGGTTGACAAATTACTGTAATGACATGACACAAGTCGCATCGGATTTTAAGGCGCGCTGTGAGCTTTTAAGAAAATGGAAGGCTTTTAGGTACGCCTTTTACTGCGGAAAATACGGTATAAGATCATGTCAGCGTCGAGTCCACCTCGCCTGTTTACACGCGCCCGATCCGTCCAAGTGTGAATTTATGTCGCGTTTGATGGGATGTTTTGTAACAGAGGCGCGTCAGCAGCAGCTGTGTTTGTATGAATAAATACGCACAAACACAGACGGGCGACAACACATCCGAGGTGTTTCTCGCCATTGGTTGACCATCTGCTGCTGCAGGGGACCACCGAGCCAGGTCCTCATCAATACTCTCTTTTCATCTTGTTTGTCTTATGTTATGCCAAAGACCTGTGCCCTTCCCGGCTTTGCTTTGACTGAACCAAAAGCTCTGCGCTCGTGATGGAAAAACATGCCTTCATACCTTTCAGTAAAAGTTTAATTTTTCTGGCTGCTTGGGAACTTCACATTTGAAATTGTGCACATTTCATAAAGCCCCTAGAAATTACATCCGAGGTGCCCTTGAACAAATAACGCCCCGTTACTCCAGTGTACTTGTGACCCTTTTTAACTGGATGGTGCCTACCCAGCTCACAATAGGTTCTGCTTTTTACACGGGGTTGTCAGTCTTCGACAGTCCTGACATACGACGTGTCAAGGTGATGAAATGTGCGCAATGAACTAGTTTGTGTACAAAGAAGTTGACCCCTGCATGTTCACAGTTTGGTCAATACCCATGGATTCACCTATATGTGTATTTTTTGCTTCCTTCTTTTTGATAATTTTATGGCTGTCCTCTGTATTGTCTGGGATTTTATTTATTTATTTGTACATCATTTCTCACCGCTGTTGGTAAAAAACGTGAATTGAACCAGAATCGGTGTTTTTATGAAGAATTCTTTTGGGTTTGTGAAAAAAATAATAAATCAAGGGGTCAGTCAGATGGTGTTCCCCTCCACTGTTGCCCACCCCTGATCTGAACCCTATGTGAAAGAAAATCCCAAACCTAACATCCTTCGCTAACAAAATCTGGAGAAGACAATTTGAAGAAAATGGCAGTTTACCCTGACCGCTAACATAGACTTGACAAAGTGAGAGAACTCTTAATTCACAGAAACCAAAACAGATCACCAATGGGAAGATTCACACATTTTTGGCTCACTTAACGAAACTAACAGAAAGCGCTCATAAATGATGAAAAATGCACGGCGCTGAGGAAAATGGTTGACAGTGGTTTGGAGGAGCGTGACCGTTGTCAAAAAGGCCTCCTGACAGCAGCTTGACATTTGCAGTTGGTCTCCTCGGCGGCAGCCAATCAGCAGCGCCATGACCCGAAGGCAATTAGCCAATCAGGCGCCCCCCGTCAAATATTCCACTTGTTAAATCGGCAGACGACAAGGAACTTTGGGTTTCTAACCATGTCTATGGGAAGATATTTGGCGCAGACTGCTGCTGCTTTTCACTCACAAAAATCTGTCAGTCATTCACACGCTCTATTATACCAACCTCACTTGTTCTGATGCCTGCAATCGTGCTTTGTTGACCCAAAATGCAGCACACGCAGCAAAAAGCAGTCGTCCCCGCACGGTAAATGTTTTCCGTCGTCAGCACTTTGAGGCAAAGCAACACATGCCTGGAGGACACAAACCTCTGATAATTGAATTATGTAACAAGGGTAGACATGCCGGTATTAATAATGAGCGCTTGGCTGTTTGGTTTCTCATTTCAAGTGTTGTTATTAGTCGTCATCTTCATTTGTAAAAATGCGTTTTGTGTTGCAGCTTCCTGGGTGTGCCCCCCGGCAGAGGCAGTTGCCCACTGACTGGCCCTCTGCCCTTTGACCTCATCTATACGGACTACCACGGCCTGCAGCAGATGAAGCAGCACATGGGGCTCTCGCTCAAGAGACACAAGTGAGTGCCGCTCTCCTTTTTCTTTTAGGTTTGTTTTTTTTGTGGCTCTTACTTTGTGTTTAATGAAGAAAATAGCAGTAAATAATGGGAAAATGTACGTGCTATATTACACAGCTCAACCGGAATAAGCCTTTGTGTTTCTCGGTGACCATAAGAACATGTTTTGCAATTTTCTCCCGAAAGACTTCCATTGGTGTGTCGTCATATTTGCAACGTGAAATGAATTTGTTACGAATCTAGGGTTGCACGTTGACAAATCTCATTTTGCAAGCAACCCACATTTATGGGAGTGTCTTGTACTATAATACTGTATCCAGTTAGAAAATATGGACTCTACGTGGGTTGTTCTCATTCATGTTGAACAACGTACATCGCTTGTTGGGAAAACAGCCTGCGACATGGGTGCCATTGTTCAGGCAGTTGATGTTCATAAACCGTAATGATGTGGTCATTTTCTACTTCAACACACAATAATTCAAACAGGGTGAATGTGCTGTGCTCCAACGCTGTATTTTGCAATGAAAATGCGTTATTTACCCTTTAATTTGTTTGTCTACCACTTTTTTTTTTAATGGGCTAATATTGCTCAGTTTAATGGAGAGAAGCCAAACAAGATCATTATCCCTACTAAAGCGCAGCGCTGAAAATTTCATTTGGAAAGTGTCCAAAAGGGATGAGGAACGATCATAATAATCGATTGAGTGCTAAAAATTCTGTCAATTGTGTGAAAATGACTGTTGATGAACCATGAGGCAGTTGAGGCAAAATCAAGTAGTTGGATTAGGGTGCAACTTCAACGTTATCCATCCATCCATTTTCCGACCCGCTTTATCCTCACAAGGGTCGCGGGGCGTGTTGCAGCCTATCCCAGCTGTCTTCGGGCAGTAGGCGGGGGACACCCTGAACCGCTTGCCAGCCAATCGCAGGGCACACAGAGACAAAGAACCATCCGCGCTCACTCTCACACCTAGGGTCGATTTTGAGTGTTCAATCAACCTGCCATGCATGTTTTTGGAATGTGGGAGGAAACCAGAGTACCCGGAGAAAACCCACGCAGGCATGGGGTGAAACATGCAAACTCCACACAGCCGAGATCGAACCCACGACCTCTGCACTGTGAGGTCAAAACGCTAACCACTGTTCCAGCGGGCCACCTCACTTCAACGTTATGCGGTTGCACGTTTCCGCCAAATTAGAGGCGCATTGTTTTTTTTGTCTCCTACTCGGTTTCTTTGTTGACCACTGACACTTCCAATTCCATCACTTCATACGTAATTTTGCGCTTGCGGTCCTCCCCCGAATGTTTATTGGTGAGAATCATTCATCGGAACAAGCAAAAGTGCAAACCCTAAATCTAGCTAAAGCAGTCTCCACCACTTCAGTATTTTCGAGTGAGTGAACTCGTAATTTAGCTCTGACAATTTGGGATCGCTGGACAACCCCACCAACACTGTAGGCTACCTGTTCGAGGAACACAGCACTTTAACAATCGTTATTTGGGATCGTAGTAAATCGGCGCTGTAGCGCGAAGGCTATTCTGTCATATTAGCTGTTCTTAGCGCTTGTTCTTTTATTTGGATGTTCTTCGAGTCACCTAAGGGAAGTTGAAAGAAGTAGCAAAAAGACATGACATAGCCTGCCTGACAAAAACAAGATCGTAAGGATTATGAAAACAACTAAGCGCTTGTGGGTGTGCGTGTGTGATAGTCGCGCATCTCAGAGTGCGCCTAACAGCTTTTGGCATTCCCACAGAGGTGGAACATCCTGGAAAGTAGGCCACAACAGCCATGAGACCAACGGAGCAAAATCCTTTCAGTAATACACCCTTCATCATATTTTTACTATGATTGCAGCAATTTGACATTTGTTCTTTTGTGGTTAGCGCGCCCGCGCAAAGTGGAGGCGCGAGACACACTGTGACTACAGGCTAAATGCCAAAAGAACACAGCTATATACAAACAAATATGCGAATCCTAGGGAAGGTGGGGATGTGACAATGGAGCAAAGAGCGCACCCCCCCCCCAAAAAAAAAAACACGAAAACAAAGTCCTCTGCTGGGACATGTCTGCTAGCAAACAACACAGAGCCATGAAAGCCATGACATGTATTTTTAAAATCCAATTATAAGCATTACAGAGGAAGCTCTTTTTTTTTTCCTCCCCAGAACATAACCTGCTTTGCTGTTTCTCTTTCATTCGCAATGTGTACGTGCGCGTGTGTGTGTATGTGCGTGTGTGTGTCTTGTACACACACACAGGCAGTCGCACTTAGAAAATAGCACATTTCCCCCAGACTATATGTCACCGCGCAGCAGCAGCCTGAGTCTAATTGCTTGCTGAGGACAGCAGTCCTACGTTGGTGTTAGGAGTCCTGATTTGTGCTTTCTCCAACACCTTTTGACAATTAGTTTGGAAGAGAAGAATGTGCGGCACTCCGTAAAAATACATTTAAAAAAAAAAAATAAATGGACACGAGGTGGACTCTGATCCAGATCTGGGTGCTTTTCTTTACAAGCCCAGAGCTACTTGAAGGTGATTGCGGCAAATTCTGCTTCATCGCGGTTCACCTTTCACACCCCTGCTATGCCGCAGATGTTTAAGCAATAGTTTTTTGTTTTTTTGTTTTTTTTAAATGGGTTGGTATTTAGAGTCGTGCGCCTTCAGTGTAGTATAATATTGTGCCGCAATATGTCGGGCGGCCCTGAGGTCAAGCGTAATAGAGGAAATGCAGCGGAGGTCACTATTATCCAGTGCTAGTCATTGTTCTTGTAGAGCATAGGTGTCAAAGCCAAGGCCCGGGGGCCAGATCTGGCCCGCGAAAGCAAATCAAACATGTCAAGTTCCATGATGCTTGCTAAAGTCTGAACCAAAATTTCAAATTGTCATATGTAATCCACAATAACAGTCCTTATTCTTGACATCTGATTTTAAAACTAGTTATCCATCAATTTGTTGTGTGCTGTGTATGTAATATGTGGAGGTGATTAAATGTTGATATGGATTCCCAAAATTCATTACGGCCCACCAAGGGAAACCGTAACTAGAATGTGGCCCGCGACAAAAATGAGTTTGACACCCCTGTTGTAGAGTTAAAGTGTTTTATGCCCATGTGTAATGTTGTAACCACTGTTGCTGTTGCTTGCGTTAAAGTAGCAGTTGTTTGAAGGTTTATGATTAGATGGAGGTTGGGGAATTGGCCACTGATGCTTGCGGCTATAACATTTGTCTGGTGTGTATTGCTCAGTGGCCCAGCCAAAGAGATTTTTCTGCCCATTGAAAATTTTCCGTTGGCAGCGCTCTGGTGAGCCGGGGATGTCCTCCCTCGGGTGACCGCCCCACCCTTGCAGTGTACAATAACAAACCTTCTAAACATTTCAAACATATGAAATCTACTTGATAATACTGCTGCAGTGCGCACGGGAGAGAAACTGACACTCGAGTATCAACGGCACTTCACGAGTATCCATCAATACCAATGTTGCAGTCAATATTTGGATCAATCGGCCTACAAGCCACCAAGATCTTTTCCGCTTGTCTGTGTAACATGCGCCCATCACTCAGCATCCATCTATACTACTGCAGCAAGTCGTTATTTGTTTCCCATTCCGCTTTTAACTATTTCCTGAGCAACCCAACCGCTTCATCCGTTTGAGTCTAGCGACACGTCAAAAACCAGCTTGTCCATCTGTGCCCGCCTGCCTCTGTCTGTCTTTGTTTTTCATGCTGTTCATCTCTGCTTTATCTCACGCTCACTCTATTTTTCTTTTCCCATAAGTGTATGAAATAATTTTCTTCTCAAAAATCTTTGGCTCCATGGCCAAGTGAGTGCTCATGAATGGTGAGAGATCTTTTTTCTTTTCATCTAAAGTTTTCCTTGTCGATATCTGGAGCAGTTCAGTTAAAGCCTTGCGGTGCAGAGTAGCCTCATTAATCAATAGTTCTGGGGGCTTTGGAGCATTACAGCTCCATCTAATTGCTCTCGTTTTATGTTTTTGTTCACTCTGAATGTTTTTATGTTATGTCCGGATGAGGCAGTGCTGCAATATGCCCCCAATGCTGATGCAGCGAGGTGGCACACATCTGTAGCGTAGTGGTTGGATGACTAAAGATGTTTCGCAGCTTACGATCATGTGGTGAAAATTGAGCCTAAATGATTAATTGACAACAGCATTGATATTTAACCAAAATTTGTTCTGTAAATGCCACAAACATGTGATTAAGCCAATTTCACGCATTCAACATCGACTGAAGTCGTAAAGTCAACTTTTCAACAAGTCAACCGCTACTGTAGAGCACATTTGGCATCTGCAACGCTGACTGAGTTTTCGGATGAATTGTTTCGTGTAGTTTGTTCGTATAGTGCTTCTGGAGGACTGAGAAAAGATAGTGAGGAGTTTTGTTTTTTTTGTTTTGTTTTTTCCGCCCACATAGGACACAACTGAGCTGTCCAGAAAAATAACATTGTGCTGGAGAGTCTGTAATAAAATGCAGAATAATTTTGATGCCTTATTATATTTATGATCCATCTATTTTCTATAGCACTTATGCTCGTTAGGTTTACGAGAGAGCTCGGTCTGAACCGAGCTAGCTTTAGACGAGAGGCGGTGAACACCCTGGAATGGTCGCCAGACCATCGCAGGACCCATACAGACGAACCCAATGCGTAAACAATCATGCCTAAATAAATATTCAATCCAGTTTGTTTAAGAGAGAAAAAATGCCCTTGGTCTCTTCAGAACATTAAGTCATAGAGCTGTTGGCTGTCTTTTTTTTTTTTTTTTTTTGCTTTGTGGCATCCACCCATGTTCATTGGGAGGGCGTGAAAGAAAATATATAAACCTCTCTTAATTAATGCATCACCGTAGCCAGTCGATAAATTTGTAGAAGCTCCAGACTTAGAGACACAGATGGAGGTTGGAATATGAATCGAGTCCCGTTCCAATCTGGCAATGCACACGCTATGATACACAGCACCCTCATCTGAGTCATTTTAAAAGCAATTTAAAACCAACTTGCGTGCTAAGAGAACGACAAATTTGCATAATGATTGCCGAGACCGCTACTGTGGTCATACAAAAGGATGACTCATATTTGAAATGGAGGCGTGTCAAATGCCTCCGTAGTTAACATCAGATGAGCCTTGGTGAGCCGCCACTTAACCCAAATTAGCTTCTCACTCGGAGCCTTGGTTGGATATTCCGCTCAAATGTCACCATCCTTATTTTCTCTGCTCCTTCCCTCGGGGACCTTCTTATCTATGGCAAATAGTGATCACGTTCCGACAGGGTGACATGTGATAGGGCAGCTGGGGAGGGGGAAACAGGATCCAATATTTGACTTATTCTTTTTCATTTATAATTTACTCTGAGCTTTCTCTGGACCAAAAACGTGCAGCGATCCTTTTAACGGGCGATCTAAATACAAACGTGTGCCATAATTATTTAACGTCTTCTGGTTACGGTGACGGTTAATGTGGTTGGTTTCCACCACCGCATCCTCTGTTGTGTTCATACGGTACCACACCTCAAAAAGCTGTGCGTCGTACATTTCATCTCTCTCATTTACGGAGGTAAGTGCCCAGTCGCAATTTTTTTTTTTTTTCCCACCCCAGTGTCGCTTGATTTAATCCTATAAAAAATGTCATCTCTGAAGCGGGGGCGATGGCACCGATGTCTCTATATGAGCCGCTTCAATAGACCCTCAAACGCAAGAGTGGAAAAACATGTATTTTTCTGAGTGTGTGCTTTTGATGTACCGATACGTGTACTGGCCTTGTGCGACGAACCGTGAATCATAAGTCATTCCCCGTATCTGTATCACACAGGTCCATCTCGAGACAGTTAAAGGGGAACGAAACACAAAAACTTGCTTTGCAGGTGTATGTTGTGCGAGCACTCGCGAGTCTCAACGCTGTATTCTGACTGCACTTCTGGAATAAGAATGAAACAGATGAATCCATCCATTTTCAGCCATCTCAGGGGGCCGCCGTTTTTAACAAGCCACATCACGACTGCCTTCGGGCTCGCATTGCAAACATCACTTGACCCCAAAAAAATGGATGAGTTTTGCTGCTTAATTCATATTCCACAAAGGCAATATTAATCAGAAGGCCGTGTTGAGACTAGTGGGGGAGCAAAGAACATACTATTGTAAAGAAAACTTGACTTCCACTTTAAAATGGTAAATGGGCTGTCCCTCGTTCCTCAGGTCCTCAAAGCGCTTCACACTGTTACCTCGTTCACCTACTGGTGATGCACCAACTAGGGGTTGAGTATCTTGCTCAAGGACACTTGGGCATGGTTGCAATGATACAGAGAATGGATGGAAATTCCCATAAAGTTGCCAGCCAGGGGGAAGTTGTGAAAGTGAGGGCGAGGAAGCCGCCTTTTAGCCCTCGTTAATCCTTGTGAGTTTACAGACTGGTGAGGCAGAGAGTGCCGAGCGTTTCACTCAGAGCGCCAGAGCGTGTGTTTGAATCTGTGTCGATGCTCAATGCGTGATCACATTTCTTACTTTTAACTCATTCACTCCCAAAGACGTTTTTAAACGTCTTTTCAGACTTGGTCCAGAATTGGCTGGTACTGAATGAGTTTAACAGCTTTTATTTCTTTGTTGAGGTTTTTTTCCCCACACTTGTCATTGTTGCAATGGATCACCTGCACTTTGTTTACCTTGTAGACTTTAATTCTACTCGTTTGCCAATTTTTTTCCCCCTTTCTCTACTCACATTCTTATTTTTGTAAAAGGGAAGGGGGAAAAAAAAAATCCAGGTAACATTTTGAAAATTGGCCGTGTTGTGTCATTGCAGATGTCACATCCGCGTGATTGACACATTTGGGACAGAGCCAGCTTACAACCACGAGGAGTACGCCACCCTGCACGGCTACCGGACCAACTGGGGCTATTGGAACCTGAACGCCAGGCAATACATGACCATGTTCCGTAAGAAGCTCCGTGTGCTTTTGTCAACCATCGGAAAATACGCTGTATAATTACTTCTTCTATGGCTTATGTTTATCCTGAGAGAGTTCACTGTATATCATTTTGAGCTTTCTATAGTTTTTAGTTTTTTTTGGGGGGGGGGGTTTACAACATTTTTTTCATATTCTATTTTATTGTTTTTGTTCAAAGCTCTGTGTGCTTTCCTTCCCTTTAATTACAGGCAACTCATTCTCTTGAGTTTATCTGCTTCTTTTGATTCATGATGTTGGTATTGTAATCGCAAGGATCTTCAAATTTGGGTGAAAATCCACACAATTAATTATGGAAAAAAAAAATCGCAATTTTGAGTAGCAAAAAAAAAAACAAAAAAAGTGCATCCAGGTGCTAAAGCTGTTAGGTCCAAACAAGATTTATGAATTCAACATGAATTACTTCCATTTAGTGCATTCTCGTCATGTCATCAGATCAGGTTGTAATTGTGTTACTTTTTGGCTCCGGAACAAATTCAGCATCTTCCAACAGTGCTCAGGGATGTGCTGATATCTTGCTCGCCGCTGTCGTTTTAACTTCTCAGCCAAGACGTCCTTTGTCCAGGAGCTTGTTGTTTTGAAAGTGCACATTTATTTTTGAATACTTAAAACAACACAAGTTGCACCTAGTTTCTTTGGTCATTCAAGAATGTTGGAGCACCCAAATCAAACAGTTTTCTTCGCTGTAACGATTTTAAACGGCCATCATTGACTCATTCATTTGACATGTGACTAATGTATGTTTGTGCCCTTGTTTTATTTAACGGCGTTTCAATGCCTATTTTCAGCAGCATCGCAGTTAACAAGCTGCATCGACCGGATATACAAATGTATGTGTGATCTTTTTTTTTTTTTTTTCCCCCCAAAGCACTTATTGTTCTCTGCCTCCTTAGTGTGACTCACTGAATTATTGGCTCCATTACTTGGTGCTCTTCTCACATTCACTTGTAAACCAGTCGGCTGTAGCGGCGCCATTATCGTCTTTCTGTTGTTGCCCATGTTTCACTTTGACTACGTGCCGACCGAGACTAAACCCACACACTCGTGTAGCATGTATCTTAGCCAACAGCAGCTGGCTCGTGGACAATGACTATTTATAATACTTAGCCATGCAGCTGTAGGGCTGAATTAGCGGTGGAATGAAACAAACCGGGATGCTCTTTGTATCTCACTCACAGCACGACTGTCTTTTGTCTCGCCCTTTTTTTTTGTCTCACCGTACGACAACGTGCCCCCCCCCACCCCCACCCCCTTTGTCCATATTTAGCTCACACGCCAGACAACTCCTTCATGGGCTTCGTGTCAGAGGAGTTGAACGAAACTGAGAAGAGGAGCATCCAACAGAGCAAAGTCAACAGCATGGCAGTGGTGTATGGGAAGGAGGCCAGCATGTGGAAGGTACAAAACAACAACAAATGACAAGCGGGGCTCTGTGCCACATGAAAGCTTCCATTTGGCAGCAAAACACAAACCGAAATTGGCCTGGGAATGATCTTTTGTACGATGCTTCTATTTCACTTGAAAGTAGTCTTCCAGCCGTGCGCAAATGCATTGAGATATGTGGTGTCCAGTTTGCGTATTGACATACTATTTCCATGTTGTTTTGTCCCTTTCTCTCATTGCATCTGTCTGCTTGGACACAAGCTTCAGGTGAGCCTCGTTTTTTTTTTTTCTTTCTTTCTTGAACTGAGATCTGGTGCTCAAGTGGTTAGCGCGTCAACCTCACAGTGCAGAGGTCATGGGGTCGATCCCAGCTCCGGCCTTCCTGTGTGAACTTTGCATGTTCTACCTGTGCCTGCGTGGGTTTTCTCCGGGTACTCCGGTTTCCTCCCACATTCCAAAAACATGCATGGCAGGCTGATTGAACACTCAAAATGGTCCCTAGATGTGAGTGTGAGCGCGGATGGTTGTTCGTCTGTGTGTGCCCTGCGATTGGCTGGCAACCGTTTCAGGGTGTCCCCCGCCTACTGCCTGAAGACGGCTGGGATGGGCTCCAGCACCCCCCGTGACCCTTGTGAGGATAAAGCGGGTGAGAAAATGGATGGATGGATAGATGGATTTACATCTGACAGCTGTTGCATGTATGTTTACTTCTCACTGTCGGCTTTCATTTCCAAAAGGCTACACACACTTGTGTTTGTACTAATTTAGCATATGCATGCCACACAGACTTTCAATTCGCATACCTGTTTTCAAAATGTATTTTTCCCTTCAGTTTTACAGATCTAACTTCACTTTCTTGCCCCAAATAAATTCAGAGCGATTCAAGGCAGCACTTTCTAATCACACACATATTGAAGCTGTTAAAATGTGTCCTTGAGGTTAGGAAAGTGTTAATAAGTGTTATGTCTGTGAAGAAATGCTCCATACTTGGGCTCCACAGATTCTTAACCCCCCCCCAAATTTAGGGCCTCGAATTGGGCAGTGACAGCTGCTGGAAAAGAATCCAGCTATAATAGAGTGCTTAACTCTTGTAACATATCCAGCTAAATTGCCCTATGCACTATGTTAATGCACAGCAAAGAAGAATTTAAGCCACCTCTGTTCCGCCTTCCGATATTTCGTATTGTCTGTCGCTGTCAGTCGTCGAAGTAATCTCTCTGTGGCTGGGGAAAATCCCCACGGAGAAGCTGATCGATATCTTTTGCCTCCAGTTACAGTTGGAGGGATTAACACAGTGAGGGGGGGGGGGGGGTCAGAGTGCAGGGGCAGGGATACAGTGAGTACACTGGACTAGTTGTAGTGATTTTTTTTCTTGTTTTTTTTTTTTTTTTGCAGTGAACTGGCGTTTGTTGTGCTGCTAGCAATCAGTATTAGCCTTGAATTGGAAATTGCCTCTTATATAATAACGAAAAACACGGATCACTGTAGAGAGAATGTGCGGTAAGGTTACAAATGCAGACTTTGAAGGGGGTGTCACTGTTGTATATTTTTAGAATCAGTTATTCCATCGATACATTGAAAAGCCGGATAAAAATGTATTTTACATAAAAGTTTATTACAGGAACCATTTACTCCAGTTATGTTTTTTTTTTTAATTAGTGTTAAAAGGCTGCAGAATGAGAGAGTAATTACTGGTGAGAGGCTGAAATCAGAGGATGAGGGCAATTCTTCATTTGTCAATGTGCGCAGCTCGATGTCAAGATTTTGCTTGTTGTATTTGTCTGGTTTTGGTCTGATATACGTTTCCTTGACCACCTGGAGGCAGTATGAGACAGACAGGAGAGTAACTGACACTCGAGTATCAACGGCAACGGCAGTATAAGACAGACATACCGAAATATTGTGCAGTGGAACTCAGCTCCTTTCTCAACGTCTGTCTGGCAGTAATATTAGTCGCTCTTCGAAGAGGACGAAGAATATATGCCCGTGAATACCGTCGTATTGTTTGTTTCCGTTTCGCCGTGTCCGCCGAATGTGCTGAAATAGAACGCTTCATTTTCTCTTCAAGAATAAAGCTTAGTCCACGGACTCGGTTGTTAACGCACAGACAGTAAAACGGCGAGCCCATTTGAACACTTTTGTTTACCCAAAACAGCCTCGCAAGAATGAAAATAAGGAGTCTTGTCAGTTTCATTGCTCGGTTTAAAAGATAAAAATTAAAGACTAATAGTAGTGTGGCTTTACACACATCTACTTTGATGACTCGATCGTACGGTTGAATTATGAAAACAATCTCAAGCTCCCTTAACTAAGTTGCCATGATGCACCACAAGCCACCTCACCTTTAGTCTGCCTCATGCTTCCAATCAGGGCAAGGAAGGTTTCCTGCAGATTCTCCATAAATACATGGAGGTCCATGGCACGGTGTACTACGAGACACAGAGACCTCCAGAGGTTCCGGCCTTTGTCAAGAACCACGGCCTGCTGCCCCAGCACGAACTGCAGCAGCTGCTGCGCAAAGCCAAGGTAAAAAAAAAAAAAAAAAAAAAAACGCTCGGGGAGTATGTTCCAGTTGTTGTGTTTCGCGTAAAGGGAAACAGGTCAAGAGTACCGGTATGTCAAATTTACAGAATTGCAATGTTCAGATCTTTATGTACCTATTTATTTGTCTGCAGCTCTTCATCGGCTTTGGTTTTCCCTACGAAGGCCCCGCCCCGCTGGAAGCGATCGCCAACGGCTGCGTCTTCCTGCAGCCAAAGTTTAAACCGCCTCACAGCTCGTTCAATCACGAGTTCTTCAAAGGAAAGCCCACATCAAGAGAAGTAACCCACCATTGACTCCCGTCAATCCATTTTCTATGGCACTTATCCGAACCGATTGTGACATCTTAGCGTATTACAGAAGGAGTCTTAAATGCTAGCAGGTGAATTTTTCGGTGAACTGAGGGTCTGTTCCACAGGAAAATGTGAATAGTGAACGGCGAAAAGGTAGGGTGTTACTGTACTTGCTGTGGCTATTTATTTACTCAACAGCATAGAGTACCAGGCACGTATGAGCCCGAAGGTGGCTTCAAGGTAGGTCGAGGTGTGCGTCTCGAGCAGCGCCCTGCATTGTCAACTTCAGCTTTACAGATAGCGCATCTGCCTTGCAGGCAACATGAGGTTGTGAATATGTCGAGCACCACATCTACTATGATGATGTCACGGTCTCAAGGGGTTTGCTTTGGGGTGGGGCGTTTATTTATGAAGTGGACGACACACATGACGATTCACGAGGGTCTATTTGAGGAGAGGCCTCCATGACATGAAAGAGTCCAAATCGGGATTTGGTATTTTTTGTTTTATATCATGGTGTGTATTTTATACTGCGTCATTTTATGTACTTGAGCTGTATTATCCCAGGTCATTCAATCCTCTCTGTGCGAGCAAAAGTTGATCATGGATTATGCAATATTTCGTTTTTACTGTCAAAATATCCATGATAAGAAGTTGCCATTGTTGCTGTGCAGGTGTCATCGCAGCATCCGTACGCGGAGCAGTACATCGGCAGCCCCCATGTCATAACGGTGGACTACAACAACTCTGCGGAGTTTGACACCGCCATCAGAGAAATTATGAGGCGCAAGGTAGTGTCACCCAGCAAAAAAAAAAAAAACCCTGCAATTTTGGACCTTTTAAGCAACATACCGTCGAGGGTATCCCAAAACAAATGACATCATCTGGAATATGAAAAGCAGAGTAACTACATTTCCGAGGCAAACAAAACCAAATCGGCTTCACATGGTCAAATAAAAGATTTCTCAAAATTGTCATTTTTTTACATGCCTGGATTTTTCATCTACATGGTTTCTGCAGCCCTTTTTTTTTTTTTTTTTAACATTTTCTGCCCTGGACCAATTTGACATAAACAGATTTTGACAAAGAAAAACAAATTATTGAATATACAACTCACCCTTTTAAATGAAGGTAGTCATTTCGGAGCTGGTGTCTGTTGTGCTAATCTTTTTTTTTCCTGACTGGGAAAAAAAAATAAAAATCCAAAGGTTTGTCTTTTAAAGCCAGCTGGAAAAATGGTCAAAGCTGAATCGCTCCTCGCTGTTTTAGGTCAGCATCGTAAATAAAAGGCGGGAAAATATCTGCTAGCACTGACATACTGTAATCTGACCATAAATATCCCTTCTAAAACGCTGTTATCACTGTCTCACAGGCCCTCTTTGATCAACTCAATCAAATATGTTTTGTTCAATCTCTCCGTACGGCCCCGATGGCTTGGGATCCATTGAGGACCGTGCTCTAGATTATTGCAATTAATTAGCTTGAAGCAGCAGTCAGGCATGTCACTGTAAAGTTGCATGAGACCGTAGTAGAAAGAAAAAAAAACGTGACATGGCAATTTGAATACGTTTGAGATTTAGATTGTTTTCTTGAAGTCTCTTTAACCATGTTATTAGGATACGTGGCTTATACTGTAACTGCATCCAAAACTCCCAAGTGCCATATCCATCTTTCCTGGAGCTAAAACTTGCATTGATTGCTCAAAACAGTATTTATTTGTTCCCATCGTCGATCTCCGAGATGCTTTTGGATTTCTTTAAGGGATGGTTGCTACTATGCATTAGTCAATAGGAGGCGTTTCTCAATGCAAATGAGGCTAGACGTGCGTGAGCGTAGCAGTTCAGAACAGGTGGGATTGATCAAAACCTTCTTATTGGTGTGCGTACAAAAGGTGTTCGTACATTTGATGAATACGGATTTTTTGGGGGGGCTTCTGCACACGCTTCAATTTCAGCCGTGCAAACAAATTTTGATCCTGTTCTACGTACTCTTTGATAAACGAAGCCCCTGGGGAGTTTGACTAAGTCTATCAGCGTTTTGTGCGTAAGGACCGATTTAACATCGAAAGCTGACATTTTTTTAGGGTGCTCCACCCAGAGCAACCTTTCCGAACTCACTCGGTCTTTACACCTTGACTCATTCTAGAGACGGTTTACACGTTGCCGTAGATGTTTTGACTTGACAAGCAAATGATGAAAAAAAAAAGATTTCCACTTATGAAAAGTGTTGCTATTTTTTTTTTTTTTTTTTTTTGCGGTTCGCTCTTCTTTGTTCAGCTGTCATTCAGGCAACCATTTCGTCAGATCTCTGAGGGTCAACTGATGGAGCCCTTCATGCAAAACACACACCATGCTCTTCTCCTGGCACTTATCTATGCACGCACACACACACACAACCACAGTAGGATTGTGAATAGCCATGAGATGACAAAATTCCTCCTATCAGCCCGCCGAGCCCTACCTACACATTATGGCCATTATCTACAAACCACACATGCACTACACACACACATTCTGTTCAGTCATGCGGGACAAAGCAATCTCTTTCTGTCCCGACGAGTCATCACGTTTCAATATATCTTTCTTTCTGCCTGCGTTCTTATCAAACGGATCTTGATGGTTTTGAAAATTTTTAAAGAAAAAAAAAGTTTTATGAAAGTAGATCAGCTCTCCAGCCGTCTTGACTTCTCTTCTTAAAATGCATCGTCATGCGGCGTGGCCCGATTCTACGGCACCTTTGGCCTCCAATCTGCTTGCTTTATTTCTGCAGTTATAGATCACTCTGGCAGTTCTTCTGCGGCTAATTAGGCAAATAAAGAATTTCAAGCACGCGCCTCGCAGCAGGTACTCTGTCGTGCTGTCATGCAAATACCGGGCCATCCATCCGTCATCCACGCCGCTTCCAATGACACGTGTGAAAATGATGCATCCAGATGAACACATCCACGGTGAAGTGACCATATTAAATGTGCAACATAATTGGGAGTGCTTTTTGTGTTTGGCAGGTTGAACCGTACCTGCCTTACGAGTACACGTGTGAGGGCATGTTGGAGCGAGTGCACGCCTACATACAACAGCAGGTGAGACGCTATGAGCTACTCCCCTTCATGCATATATGCTATGAGTGAGTACATTTTTTTATTTTGAAAAATTGGTCACATCACTTGCAAGGGAGGTAAAAGTTAAAATATGCAAAATTGTTTAGTTTAAAAACGAAATCATGATGAATTCTGGTTTAAAAAAATAATGCGAATAGCTAAGTTATAATTAATACATGCACTACATTTTGTGCATAAACTTCAGTGTTTAGATTGCACTGAATTCAACTTAGCATCTTGCAATCAACACCAGTTTGCCAAATAGTGAAGATTTCATCAAAAAGAGGCTCCTCCATGTTCAGTGTCAATTCCAGTTGTCCTTTTCGATCAAGCGAAACAAAAAACTAACAGCGTGTGTACACCGCGTGCATTCAAAACAGCCAAACTGCCTGAAGAAACTCCCCGCGATGCTAAGGCTAGTTAGCATATATGTTGCAGAGCTTTAACCTTTTAACACAAACATAATGGTTTTCACAGTCATATATTCTTTACCCTCTGTGGAGCATGACTTATGTCGGTGCTGTACTGATGAGCTCAGAGTGGAGCCGAAGTAATGAATCCCCACTGCAACATGATTGGTTGCCGCACAAAGGCAAGTACTGCTCAGAGCTCAAATGGGATGGGTTCATGTGATTGATTGACGCAGTGTGACAAAAATGTTTTGTTTTGTTTTGTTTTGTTTCACTCCAATAATGTCATTACAGCGGACGCCTGCATATTCACCGTTCACTTGAATGTTTATTAGCATTTCTTTCCAGAATGTTTTCGCTTTACTCATCACAGAGTCTCAGGTGAAGTATGGAGGTACACACGGTTTAAAATGAGACAATATAATTTGTTGCAAATTGTATTGTGTAGCCCTGATGGCTACGGCTCGCTGACCATCGGTGATCTGGAGACCCTAGTTTGAGAACCACTGCACTATAGTACATTAAACAGCAGTTCACCATACCTCTTCAATATTTTCGAGTCACATGTCAGGTTCTCTCAACACTCTCACATATCTACCCCGTCCCTCCGGGTCCAAAGCGCTACATCAAATGACGTTGATGAAATAGGGACGAGTCATGCAAGAAGGGATGCGCCAAGATGATGTATTTGGAAGTGCGGACGGCAACCAGATGATGATTTGTCTTTTCAGTGCCGTTTTTATTGTTTACCGCTCAGGTGACAGTCATGTCTAAACATTTTTAGTGCCTTTAGTTTGCTGGGCAATGGGTTTATTTTATTTATTTTAAGCTAGAATCCGATTTTTTTGAGCCTCAAAACATGAAGTTATGTTGCAGTATATGTGCAGCTACATACAAAAAGGGTGTTGCTGGCACACTGCAAGCGTAAATTTTCACACGACACCTCTGTCGCAGTAAGATGCGAGCTTTAAATGTGCGTGCATGTTTGTGTGCATTCATAGACGTGAAAACACACACAGTGTGCCCTTATAAATTTAAATATTGTGCCTCATTTGACAATGAAATGTCTTTTTTTTTGTTACGTAATTATAAACTGCAACCAATGAAAAATTCACCATCTCGAATCTGATCACTAATCACAATTTTTTTTTTTTTTTTTTTTTAAATGCAGGAATTACGGTAGGTTGAAATTGTGCTCAACACCATCTAAGAAATTCGCTTTTTGAATTGAACTAACGAAATCAATACTTTTTTATCCATGTTCCAATTTATTCTAAATGGAGCGTTCCGACTACATTAGTGTTAGCCCACAGCACGTTCTGACTAGGACGGCAATTTGTGTTTGGAAGTTGCGTTTTCTTGCCGAAACGTGTCCTCCATTATTTACTATTTGACCTCCCTATTTGCTGTTTTTGTGCATAGGCCAAGACCATGTTTAATATAAAAATATTGCTTTGGTGCGATTTCTAACAGAAACTTGTTGTGAAGGAACTATGTTGAATTGAGTCAAGGCGCTTCATTTAGCCAGGTCACGGCCTTGTCAGGAAGGAAAAAAAATCTGCCTTCTTGTGCCATCTATCGGCAATTACATCACTTACAGATTTTCACTATTCGCAGCGGAGCTCAGTCCCGATCACCCATTAATATTGGGGTTCTCTGTACATCTCTACCGTAACACCGTAAACCAAACCAAAATTTGAAAAGCTGGACAGTTATGGTCCAAATAATGATGGTGTATTTTTCTCCTTAGGATTTCTGTGCCTCGGAGCCACTGTTCGTCCCCGCCAACGTATCCAGACAAGGCCCTGCAGGCGTCGGCCCCCTCGCAAGGCCTCTGTTTGTGCCCCTGCCCAACTCCACAGCCCTTGGCTGGGCGTCCGACGTGACCCCCCCTCCCACAGCCTGGCCCCCTCTCAGCTCCTTACGGCTCCTCGTATCGGAAGAGGGCGAGTCGTGCGTAGAGGCGTGCCGGAGCCACGGCTTCATCTGCGAGCCTGCTCACTTTCGCTTCATCAACAACAAGGAGGCTCTACGCAGGTATGGTGGCCCAAATGGACAGTTTTAGCATTTCAAGCAGAAATGGGTGCATTTCAAATACAGTTCACCTTTTTCGGAGAATTTACCAATCAAGCGAGCGCGACGATCAACTACTAACACTCATTTTTATGTTGAGGAATGCAGGTTAAAGATTATAATTTGGCATCTTAATCCAATAAACGTTTAAAAAAAACACTTCTTAAACATTGAAGACCCTGTAAAGTCATTTGTGTTTTGTTTTTTAATACATCACGTTTAGAAGATAAGTGATGAAAATGTGCAGAGTGGGGACAATTCGGAACTGATTTGCTGAGAGATAGCATAAAGCTCTTTTTCGTCCTTCAAGGTGTCCGGATTTTGGGGGCGGGGCTAAAATGCACGCAAGCTGATGCAAACAAGGAACGGCTTCCTTCTCGACAACATGCCTTTAGCCAAAAGGCAAAATACCTCTTCCCCGAGGTGTTACTTGTTTTGTATTTTGTGCATGGCGCAAGACGGCGGCAAAACATAACATGATGTCATGGCTCGGAGATTTTTATACTGTTGAGTCACACTGGCTGAGAGGGTTCATGACCCAGGGTCTTTGAAAAAATCAGCGTCTCACAAATGATGAAATTATTCTGTCACTGACTAAATCCATCGTGGTGCACCATGTAGAAATATGAAGACATGGTTTGTATGTTAAGTGTTCTCCAAAACAGGAGCTTTGGTTCAGATGTTTTGCTTCGCGGATCTCCGACATGTAAATTGTGATTTGTGTGCATTGTTCTCCACACGCTCCCCTCCAGTCAGTCATGTTTCTTCTTTATTTTTGCCTCCTCTTTCAATAATCTTTTGTGCACGTGTAGTTGACATCTTTTGTGTTCCCGGCTTTGTAGAGACGTTGTTCTTTTTCAGTTCTGTCATCTTTGTGTCTAGTATGTGTGCGCGCGCGCGCATCTGCCGTTCAACGCAAAATGATCTTTCATCTCATACCCGCCTACCGGTTCCAACACCCTTGTTTCTTCTCCACTCAATCTATTGTCTCCGTCAGTGAATTTCCAGACCCCTGTAGAGCCCCTTTCTACCCATCTGAAAAACATCTCTTGTGTTTAGTGGCTCTGTTCAAAAAAAGGCACCCTTGTGAAAGGTTTAAAATCGGTTAATTACTCCTGTGGGGCGTAGTGGCCATTTTTTGGCACGTGATTGCCACACCTGTCTCCCACTACTTTTCGGCGCATGACAGCCCGTCAACGACAACTTTTCAACACATGGCAGCCGCCTTTGGTGCACATTGTTGGGCCGAATTTTGTTCCCAGCACTTCCTTGGTTAAAGTACACATTGGTATCGCAACAAGTGGCCATTTCAAATGAGCGGTCGGCCATAAAAAGCTCTCACATACTAAAAATTGTCTGATCACGTTCGATCGATCAGACCACCCCAAATAACAATATTAATTGTCATAAAAGATTAGTTTTCAAGAAAAATACACCTCTTTGAAAATATACATTCAGTCTGTGACATCAAAACAGCAGCGCCTCCTCTTTGTGTTAAGACCAAACTGTCACAGTCTTTATGTTGGCCGCCTGCTATTCCACCAGCGGCCCTTTGGTCGACTCGGGGTAAAAGTTGTGGTCACGGTCCTCACAGATGTGAGAGAAGAAGAGCCAAATGCTCCTTTTACGTCGGCATACAGGAAGTCCAGAGTTGTAGTCGTCTCTTCATGGTGCGGCTTACATCTAAAATATCAAGTCGTTTTAGTCAATGAGTCTAATGTTGGCCCTGAATTTTATTTGAATTTTTTTTTTAAATCCTCACATTGTCATTTGTGTGCCTATGAAGGTTGGAGGTGCAGTGTGAAGTGCTGGATTCCGAGATGAACCACATCCTCCCGGCCTTCTCTGTGTTGCGCCGCGAGTGCGGACTTCAGCGAGAGCCGCTGCTCTTCAGCTGCGCTGGCCACTCGCCCAAATACAGACGCGTCTGCCCCTGCAGGGACTTCCGGCGTGGCCAGGTGGCGCTGTGCAGGGACTGTCTCTGACCGTGGAAGAATTGGCATTGAGGCAAGGTAATGAGCACTTACCTCGGAGTGCAGGGAGGAGGTCTCCGCTGTGGAATGGTGAGTGGTGGAAGGAAACCCCACGAATGGATTTAAATTGCTTCAACAGGCACCGGGCTACCGTATGATGGAACTTCCTATGTCGCCGGGTGGCCGAATTACCCATTTGGAGCGTTGGCAAAGCCAACTGGAGTGTAGCCTGCCCCCTGGAGGACACTTGAAGAACAAATCCGTTCATTTTGGGAACCTTTAGTTCTTCGCACGCATGGACTCCGACAAGAAGGCGAGCACAGTTCAATATCCAATCTCCTCTCAGCGCACGCACAAAAGGGTAGACGGACAAGCTGGGGGGGTTATAGCCTCTGCCTCTTGTACCCCCTCCGCCCCTTCCGTCGTCGATTGTCAGTCATTTGTCAAACTGGGCCCCCCCGAGTCGGCGGCAATATCGTTCAATGTAATCATCTGTGGTCACAAAAGGCAGAAAAAGGAGCAGAGAGGACACAGATAAAGGCGACCAAATTATTTTTCAATGAATACACTCGAGTGGATTTTTCAGCGTCCTAGCGGGCTTGTCTGATGGAGAAGAGGTCCTCAAATATAAAGATCAACATGGATCAAAGCCGCGTGCTGTCTTCTTTCGTTGTGCTCTTCACTCCGACCCCTGTCCTCTTTTAACAATGAATGATTAAGTTCTCATTTGAATACGCTGGCATCCTCACTCAAACGTGGTTGTCTCAGTTGTATACCGGCGGTGTCTCGTTGGCATTTATCACGGGGTCATGTCATAGTGACGAGGCTTCTTATAATGGCAAAACCACATCCAAGTATAATCATTTGGGTGATAGTTTTGGGGCACAACTCGGTTTAAAGTTCAAAGGTTTGGTTCACATTCGGGATAAGGACGAAAGCCTGCCTTGACTGTATGTGAATTGTTTAAACTGGAAACGGGCTCCCAACTATGAAGCGAAACACTATGAATCCAAATTTGCCTTTTATTTTATTAAAACTAATAGGTTTACAGATTTGATTCGATTTTTTTCGAACTGTTCATGAATTGCACTTGTGGCAAAGACTCTCCCTAACAACCCAGACTAAACTTGACTCCTCCCTAACATGGAAAGCTTGTTTCCTAACTGAGATGTCACATAATTCCATGATACCAATTGACCACTTTCCCATTTAGACGGAGCTTTTATGGCATTTTTGCTTGGTAACTTACGACATTTCATAAAGCACAAAAAAACAGGTTGCTGAATTTTCCCGCAAGCCACAGAAAAAAACACGAATTTGTGAATGAACCGCAAATATGATTACTACAGTCAGGGAGCGGAGTCAAGTGAAACAAATTGAATATTATAAAATCACTGATAATGGCATTTGAATGTTTTGTTTGACAAAGGCACAGGAAGTTGCGTTCCACTTTTTTTTTTCCCATTCTACTCACATTCTTGCGATGCCATTTGGAATCAGGTAACAGCGATGCTCTGCCAAAAGCATGCCGCTACCCAGAAGTTGAACTGCACTGTGTTTGTTTTACGGCCAAGGATTGCCGTTGGAGAGTGGTGAGGCTCACCTACCGGTAACATGTTCTGTGTGGGAGCCACAATAAGCACTGCATCACGTCACATAATTGGGCCCGGTTGGATTATTATCTGTTGTTATGGATCACTAGTTTTGATACTTATGGGAAAATTGGGCCAAGGCTTTCCTTGTGAAAATAACAGAGGGCCCATCGAGAGTTTGACACGAGTGATTTTAGACCCATTTTCTCCTGCACTTGATGAGTTCCCACGGCAAAACGCAGGTATGACAAAGTACGACTCTATTTCTAGTGCCTTGTCAGCGGGGTCCAAAGTGATTATCTCATGGATTGAAGTGGAGCAACCATCAGCTTCTAACTGAGGTGAGTAAGCAATTGTTTTCTACAACAGTGTGATAAACTCCCGCGTGTCTACCTCAAGATTTGCTCCTGCACTTCTGAAGTTTCATATGATTTTAAGCCCTTGTGATCAGTACAAACAAACACAAAAATGGCAATATTGAGATAAGATCGATCTAATCGACGTGCAATTGAGTTGCGACATGACTTTGGAGAGTCGAGTTTGCATAAAAGGATTAAAGCGCTCATGCGAATCGCAGCATCGTTCTAATATGTTGAATATTGCCGTGCTTAATGTTAAGTGTGTTGATGTGACAGGGAGAGTAGAGCGAGAGGGAGAGGAAATGCTTTTATCACAACCATCGGATATTAATTTGACGACATGCAGCGGCTGTCTTCGTCAAGGTGACTTTGACACGTGAGGCTGACAAATAACCAGGTGGGCTTTTCTTTCTTCTGCGTTTTGCTTTCCTCTTGATTTTCATGTCTTTCACCTGACTTAAAAGAAGACAAAATTCTGTCAAAATGCTCTTAAACGAAAATATGTTGTTGTTTTTTTTTTTAAATGGGGAGATGGTGCAAAAAAGCAAATTGCAAGGATGTGATGTGACCCAACCCCCCGCCCCCGCCTGTGTTGACAACTTTATTGGTGCTGAAGCCTAATTGGCTTGTTATCACTCCCGTTTGGTTTGTCAGCTTCTGGGCGGATTGCAAATGAGAAGCACGCCCGAGCGCAATGTTGATCCTGTTTAAAGAACAATTAATCAGCTCAGGAATAGGACTGGTGTACATGGCAGGACAAGTGAGGAGACAATAATGCCGTGAAGTACGCAATAAAAAAAGAAAATGTTTTTTTTTTTTAATTTTCATCGTGACAAGCACACCTCTAATGGCAATAACCTATCAATCAATAACGGTACTGTCTTGGGGATATAAACTAGCCCATTCGATCAGCTTCACTGTGTGTGTGTGTGTGTGTGTGTGTGTGTGTGTGTGTGTGTATATACACACACACACACACACACACACACACACACAGTGAAAGTTGCCATGATTACTTCAAGCCGGAGTTCTTCTTCTTCGTTGTTTTTAAAAGAGAGATGATGACGACGACAACAAAGATTGAGCGACTGGAACATGGCAACTAACTTACGCGTCGCACAACAACGATTTAAGAGGTGCATAAATCCACCAGGATGGTACATTTGGCTACAACGTAAACGCAGTGTTGTCATTCAGGGAAGCCATTTTAGAATAAAAGGGAAAACTTTCACATTGTTAGAAGCAAACGTTCCGTCGTCCTCGTACGCAGCCCGGCAAACTAGCTCAAAATACCAAAGTTTTTTTTTTTCCGTAGACCAAATCACTGGTGACACTGCAAATTCGAACTCACTTAATCCCCTCAAAGATATACCGTCCCGGACTTGTTTTAAATATTTCAAAGCTAAGCAAAAATAGTGACCAGTTGTGTAAAAATGTAAGGAGTAGAAGGGCAAAGTGGGCTGAAAAAGAACTACTCCAGTAAAGTGTGGATACCCCAAATTTCTTCCTAAGGAAGGCAACAAACTAGTTTTACTTATTCATGATGTTTTATAGCCGACTGAGGTAACTACAATGAACTCATTATTTCATTTTATTAATAAATTTATTTTTTGCAGACTTTCAGGGATTACGGTGTTGCGTTCAAACAAGGGAATTACTGATTTTACAGACACGAGAGGTTACACAGATCAAAGGATGGAATATTACAGTGCGTTTGTCATGAATTTTGCTCACAAGGCCGCCTTCTGAAGCACTTTACCCTTCCCGTGTCTTCTGTTGCCATGCTTACGCTTTATTGCTTCCTCTTCTCTGAGGTCCAATTTGCCTGCCAAACTTTGGCAACACACACACACACACACACACACACACACACACCACTTGCTGTTAGCATAGTTAAAATGCTTCAACATGTGCCTCTCTAATTACTTATGCTGATTTTTACTTTCGTCCACACACAATACAAACTGACAACCACTATCTGGTTTTGTGTGTGTGTGTGTGTGTGTGTGTGCGTGTGTGCGTGTGTGCGTGTGTGTGTGTGTGTGTGTGTGTGTGCGTGTGTGTGTGTGTTTGAGCGCTGTGTTCCTAATGACTTTAAATACACTTGCTGGTTCCTCACTTTTAATGAAGACAATTAGCTTGTCAAATTCGGCAGCACAGTTTGTAGTAGAATTTTGGACCCCCCCAAAAAAAAAAATTATGATGTAATTTATGTATGTTTTTATTCATTTAGAAGCACTGAATGTTGAAATTTGTGGCGGCAAATGTGACTTGAAATTTTTGAATTCAGATGTTTTTTAAGCATGTCCATATACAGTATATTCTTTTTCAACGACCCGCCCCCTCCAAAAAAAAAAAAAAAATTATTTATGCGCCTGTGGTGGTGTTGCTGCCGTCAGTTTCAGCTTCGGAAGTTACAGTTGAGATGAAGCGCAGAGCGTTGCACACCACAATGTTGAATTCAATGCCTTCATGCATAAAGAAAGAGGGGCAGAAAGAAGCCACAGGAGGCTATCAGGTCAAAGTAAATATTGGACTGAGTTTTCTGGTCAAGAGGAAAATCAACGAGAGCAGATGGCCAAGTAGAAAAGATAGAGATAGAGTTAATAATTCATATCTAATTGGCGAGCTCCTCCAGAGTCCAACAGAGGCCTGAATAAATCAGTTTGTGTGTCAATAAAAGAGCCCATCTCATCGTTAAAGAGAAGCAAATCAACGATCAATCTCCCAGATGAGCGCTGGTCCATCATCCCGGTCCAACTCGTTTTCCTTGTGTCAAACCTGCATATCTTGTCGCGACTCTCGTAATGTCAACCCTTCAGGGAGCTCCTACAATGGGCCCGGTCTGAAGGTTCATCACTCGCAATATCGTGGTCGAGCGGCATGAAGAGCGCGTGCAGAAAGGCAAGGTACGCGCATACCAATAATACGGCCAAATTTCGGCATTTTCCCTCCCTTTGCGGTCCAAGTCAGGATTTATTTAAGATGATCCTAAAAAATGTTTTTATGAATATATTTTTTAGGCTCTTTAAAAGAATGCTAAATAAACACTTGAGATTACCAAGTGTGAATCTTACACCAAAACTGAAATGAAGGTTTAAAAGAAGCCAACAATGTGTCACGTTGCGGTGGTGGTGGTGGAGGACCCCAAAAAGCAGGCAGGAAGGAGGAGCCGGGTGAACTTGACAAATTGTATGAACAAAACACTGAGGAACCTAAATCCAAAACAAACAGTCTCGAAAACAAAAACAGTCCAACAACAAACAAAAACCATGGCTGAAGCAGAAAACTAACAAAAAACAATGACAGAAACAAACAATGACCCGACACCGAGTGGGCGTGCCGGGACTCCTTTTAAACCACAAATGACACAACGACCAACAGGTGTGCAGCTGCAGGCGGAGCCCTACAGTGCCACCTGTTGGTCACAAACAGAACCATGACACAATGTGACTTTTCCATCTTTCTTCAGAGCATCATTTGAAGTTTTCTTTTACTTTTTGTGCCTATTCATTCGTGGAGACCAGTCAAGTGATGAAATTGGAAACACCGGTCAGCAAACCTTGAAAACGTTTTCAGAAGAAATGGAAGTGAAATGAACGCGACTTGATGAAAGTAGGATTACACAACGATACCAAATGACTAATTATCTGTGCGGATGTTATCTGCTAGACTCTGGGGACTTTTCCACCACGCAAGGATTAAACCGTGGATTGTGTTGGGATTGGCACACTAAAGTAGTAAGACCTTCCAACTATTTGCCGCCCGCAATGGTGTACAACAACAACAACAAAAAAACGGACTTGCAAACCAGAAGCGCCGTCGCGTAGGCCTCGGGGGACCGCTGACGGACTTTGAACGTAGCGTTGACAGCATGGGACACAAATAGAAGCGCTTCGCATGACTGCACACATCGTGCATGCTAGGAAAGCGACTCGGCGGCAAACAGGAAGCCACCGGGGACGCCATCAACCCAAATGAATGACAGAAAAATTGGATGTACTGCACTAAGCACACTGTCTTTGGGGTATTTGGACAG